AGATATTTCTATAAGGTACTGATTTCATTTTCTCCGAGTATATACCCAGAAGAGGAATTGCTAGGTCATGTAGTAGCTTTATTTTTAATTTTTTTAAGGAACCTCCATACTTTTTTTATAATGGCTGTACTAATTTACATTCCTCCCAACAATGTATAAGGGTTCCCTTTTCTCCATACCCTCACTAACACTTTTTATCTCTTTTCTTTTTTATAATAGCCATCCTAACTGTTGTGAGGTGATATTTCATTGTGACTTTGATTTGAATTTCCCTGATGATTAGTGATGTGGATTTTTCAGCAGAAACCTTGCAGGTCAGAAGAGAGTGGGGTGACGGAAACAGTGCCTCATACCTGTAATCCCAACACTTCGGGAGGCTGAGGCAGGAGGATCACTTGAGCCTAGAAGTTTGAGACCAGCCTGGGCAACATAATGAGACCTTATCTTTACAAAAAAATAAACAGAAAATTAGCCAGGCATGATGGCACGTGCCTGTAGTCCCAGCTACTTGGAAGGCTGAGGTGTTAGGATCACTTGAGCCCAGGAGGTAGAGGCTGCAATAAGCTGAGATGATGCCACTGCTCTCCAGCCTGGGTGACCGAGTGAGACCCTGTCTCTAATAAATTAATAAAATAAAATTTAAAAACCCTGCTAGCCAACAATAATATACCCAGCAAACCTGTGCTTCTCAAGTTGAAATGAAAGGATACTAAATAGCAACAAGAGAGCATAATTAAAAAGGAAACTCATTGGTAAAGGTGAGTATTTGGACAAAATCAGAACGCTATATTACTATAAAGGTGATGAGTAGATAGCTTTTGTGTCTATGAAGAAAGTTAAGAGACAAAATATTTTAAAAACCATTATAAGTATTAACTAAATTATGTTAATGGGTACATAATATAAATAGATATAAACTGAGGCATCAATAGCATATAACATGTGGGGAGCAGAGGGAAAACCAGAGTTCTTTTATGCAAGTAAAGTTACATTGTGAACTTATAATGACAGTTACAAGTTATTTTATATAAGCTCCTAGTAACCACCAAGAAAATACCTATAGAAGTTATATTTAAAAAAGAAAGGAATCAAAACCTATCAATATAAGAAAAAGAAACGAAAACAGCAAGGGAGAAAAAGAGGGACAAAAGAACAAGACGCATAGAAAAGAGTTACCAAAATGGCAATAGTAAATCTGTCTCTATATTTACTTTAAATGTAAATAGACTAACCTTCCCAATAAAAAGATACAGCATGACTGAATAGATTATTTAAAAAAAAAATAAAATAAAAACAGGATCAAACTATATGCTGTCTACAAGAAGCTCACTTTTAGATTCAAGGTCACACAGAGAGATGGAAAAAGGTAGTCCATGCAAATACCAACCAAAAGAGAGCAGGAGTGGTTAATACTTCTATCAACAAAATAGACTTTAATTCAAAAACTGTCTCTAGAGACAAAGAAGGTCATTTCTTAATGATAGAAGGATCAATTTAACAGGAAGACATAACAATTATAAATGCACCCAGCATCAGAGCACCTAAGTATATACAACACTGACAGATCTGAAAGGAGAAATTGATAGCACTATAATAACAGGAGATTTCAGTACCCCCCTCTCAATAATGGTCAAACTCATGACCCCAGGTGATCACTCGCCTCAGCCTCCAAAAGTGCTGGAATTACAGGTGTGAGCCATCACTCCTGGCCCTGCCATCCACACCCAGCCCCACCATCCACTAATTGAGCTTCATGGTGTTCACTCAGGCACACTGTTGTTGCTCACATTTGCCAGTGTAAATAGTGATGCACAGTGCCTAAGACAAAATCACTATCACTGCAAGCTCCTACCCCTGGCTATATGCTAATCTGGATTTATAGGACAGTCACTAGTGCTATTATTTTCATTTTATAAATGAGGAAACTGAGTCATGGAGGGAAGAAAAGTCAATTTTCTTAATGTAATACAGTTAAAATAGGATTAAACTTTCAATTTCCTTATTTCTTAACTAGTATTTTATCTTTCCATGATTTTGCTTAATTTTATCTGATCAGTACAAGCACTCATATAAGCTGTAGGGATATGTGTGTACATGTATATGTGTGCATATACACACACACTATGTGTGTATATATGTCAAACTCAGGGCTTGCCTTTGTTGGATGGAAATTCAGCAGCATTGGAGGACTAGACAGCTAAAGAAGCCAGTTTCAGGGACAGGAAATAGCAGAGTTCAAGGGAAAGTTAGGACAAGGAAAAAGAGTCTTTACAAAGCAACCAATTCCTCATGAGAAGTCTTTGCATCTCACATGGCTAAGGGACAGTACTTTGGTTAGGGGGCTGGAGCTTTGGTCTTGACGAACAATGTGCTAGTATTGGCTCTAAGCTGGGGCATCCACCATTTGGCTCCACATTTGAGTGGTCACTCTGTCTCTCAGGGCAATGTGTGGTCTTTTGGTGTTGATAAAGCAGCAATTACATGCCAGGCCCTGAGGGCAGGCACAGAGGCAAGCAAGACTGATATGGTGCCCCTGCAATCCTCTTGGGACATCATTTTAGCAGGGGAGACTACCACTGAACATGTAATGATAAAATTGGTTAGTTATGATTGAGATGAGTAGTAGAAGGAAAAAGTATATAGAACTGTGAGAGCTCACGATGGGCCTGAACTTGCGCAGGTACTCAGAGAAGTGGTCTAGATTTGCTCGTTGAAGGGTGAGAGGACATGTCCTAGGTGAACCAGCTGGAGGAATCTGGGGATCTGCTTGTGGGGAGGCCCTGGGTGGGAAGTTGTAAGGCCAACCTGAGTGATAGCTGGCATGAGAAAGCCAGGGTGACAGAGGTGAGGAGGGCACATGCCAGATCTGGCAGCCTGCATGTCACCAGATGGATTTAAGTCACATCCTGTTCTTCCGTTCTCACCTCTTCCACCTCCACCTCCACCCCTTCACCCCTCCATGCCTCACAAAGTTGGACTCTCTTGCCTGTGAGACAGGAAGGGCATGTGTGATGAGGGGACGGTACCCTAGGGGCTGATCCGGGTTTTGTGAGACCTGAGGCTTATACAGTGGAGGGTGGGTCTTGAAGGGAAAAAAAAGGTGAAATTATGAAAACAAAGTTTGTGCAAGGCTTCTGTAGGGGCCATGTCAGCTAGGGACCTCTAAGCTGAAGTTTCACTAGCTTGGTGGGGAAGCTTTCTTCGGCAGCTTCCCTCTGTCCTCAAAGCTCATAAAGCCCACCTTTCATCTTGCCTGAGTCGTTCATGCCATCCTTACACCCACTTCCTCCTGTTTTCTTCTTAGTTGAGATGGCAAAGAAAGCACAAATTGGCCGGGTGCGGTGGCTTACGCTTGTAATCCCAACACTTTGGGAGGCCGAGGCAGGCGGATTACAAGGTCAGGAGTTTGAGACCAGTCTGGTCAATATGGTGAAACTCCGTCTCTACTAAAAATACAAAAAAAAATTAGCAAGGCATGGTGGCGTGTGCCTGTGGTCCCAGCTGCTTGGGAGGCTGAGGCAGAGGAGTCGCTTGAACCTGGGAGGCGGAGGTTGCAGTGAGCCGAGATTGCGCCATTACACTCCAGCCTGGGCAACAGAGCGAGACTCCATCTTAAAAAAAAAAAAAAGAAAAAAAAAAAAGAAAGCACAAATATATTGAAATCTCCTGGAAATTTGGCTCTTTCCTTGACCCCAGTAGTGTCCAAAAGAACATGGGAATTTCCTCTTTTTGCCCAAGACTTCCATGATATTTTCCCTGATAATCAAGGAAGGCAGTGTTGGCTGGGACGCTTTTTTCTTTTGGAAATGTGGCAGGGGAATATGAATTTCCATAGGCGAAATTACTCTTGTCTGGTTGAGTCTAGACTGTTCATTGGCCAGCATGTTTGCTGGAGCCCACACTGGCACTCCGAGGTGCTGCCTGGACTTATTCTGTGGGCAGGGAAGAAATAACTTGGAACTACATTTTGGGGAAAAAACTCACAAACATGAGCAGTGACAAGGAAGAAGTTTAATAATGAGTAAATTACAACTAAAAGTTGTCAGCAGGCTCTTCTCTCCAAATTCCACTGAAATGAGCAAAGCCACTGAACAGTAGTGAAGAGTCTCTGTCATCTGGAACTTAGGGAAGCTACTGTCCATAGATCTGAAATATCAGAGAGGTTGAGATTGATTGAGGGGAAGACTAACAAGCCCTCCATGGACCATAGAAGAAAGCCCTCACCCCTCTCCAGACGCTGCTGCTGATCTCCTGGCAAGCCTCCACAGATAGGCCCAGGACCAGGCACAGTCAGCAAGCTCTCTGGAAATATTTGGGTTTTGGCACGCCAAGCCTTGGCCCCAGCACTGGGTGGGGCTTTGGCTGTTGAGGCCCAGTCTTGGTTACAGAAAAGGCACTGTGTCCCTGTTAACTGCTGGCTGCCCCACCAAGAAACTGGAAAGAATCTCCCCGACTCTGTTGTGATTCCCTCAGCCTGATGGCCTAATTGCCTTTGACTTCTCCTGTTAATACTGAAAATTCAAATTCAAAAAGTCCCATTGCTCAGGCAGAACCTATTTCAAATGTAAATTTCCTGCCTCCCCAAGACAGAGCAAACAGGGGGAAATGACCAAACTATAATCTGAGAGTTCTTTACTCAACTGGATTATCATTCATCTAAGAACATCTGAAAGACAGTCTCACACGAGCAAAGACCGAAAGGACATCCACCACCATGTACCTCTCTTGAAAAAACTGCTTGGCGAAGCACTTCAGTAGACTAGGGAATGAATCAAATAAGTAATGCACTCACAAAATCAAGACCACAGTTGACTTAGGCTTCCTTGGAGCTTGGAAGAACCCCTTCCCAAGCTGGAGAGCTGGCTTCTTGGAGGTGGGAGTAGAGGCCCTGAGGGGCTCAGGGGAAGAATTCCCACTGATTTGCAAGAAAGGAATTGACCACTGTGTACTCATTTGCCACTCAGTCCTGCCCTAACCTTCCTCTCCTGTCTCTCTCACAGACTGTTTTTGAAAGGAATTGCCATTCAGAGGACTGTGCCGCGGACCTGCAGCTTCGGGGTAAACTGCTGCTCTCTAGGTATGTCAGTGTTTCCTTCACAGCGTTATTCTCAGAAGCTCCTTTTCCTTGACCCCAGGCCCCAAACCTGAATGTGCAGATTTCCCCACTGAAGAGGATAAACAGAGTTGATGGGTTACAATAATATTTTGTGGTTTTAAAAAAATGTATATTACAAAATAATTATAACAAAAGCTTTCTTGGGAAGATTGTTTAGGTTTGGTTTTGTTTGCAGTTCTACATATCTCACAATTTAGCTTATATTTCTAATTTCTGTAAGTATTTGGGGGGTGGCTATTTTATGCTTGCTGATTGTATTAAGTTGAATCATATGAAATTGCCAGTATTTGACCTTTTGGACAATTTCATGTCATTCAACCTATTATTATATAAAGGTGTATCCCCACTCCCCTCTCCGTGCATGCATACGCGCGTGCACACACACACACACACACACACACACTTAACAATAGTGTATGTTTTAACAAGAAGTAACTTTTCTGTGGCAGGAGAGGGCTGAAGAAGAGGGGCAGGCTGTCCTGATCCAAGTGAACAGACAGTCTCTTTATTGTTTCAGGGTTTCTTCCCGCACTACTTGAATCCCCCAAGGCTAAAGGTGAGCTGTACAGCAGCCTTCTGTTTCCTCTTCGCCAACCTTTTATTTTAGACTTCATTTAGGATGAAGGTGTTGGTCCTGATCATTTAGCCTAATTTCACAGAATGGCTTCCTTTTGAAACAATTCCTTCTGAAAGACTGTTTTAGCTTTGGGGCCAGAAACCCTTCTATTAGATTTATTACCATTTCTGAAAAACAGTCACCAGTTTTGATAGTTATTTTTCAAAATGCATAGCATGTCCCTTACTTAAAACTATGAGAGTTAAGTTTGGATAAAATGAAATGAATATACCATTATGAATCAGTGCCTACACTAGGACATTTTTTTTTTATTGTTATACTTTAAGTTCCAGGATACATGTGCAGAACATGCAGGTTTGTTACATAGGTATACACATGCCATGGTGGTTTGCTGTACCCATCAACCCATCATCTACATTAGGTATTTCTCCTAATGCTATCCCTCCCCTAACCCCCCACCCCCGACAGGCCCCAGTCTGTGATGTTCCCCTCCCTGCGTGCATGTGTTGTCATTGTTCAGCTCCCACTTATGAATAAGAACATGCGGTGTTTGGTTTTCTGTTCTTGTGTTAATTTGCTGAGAATGATGGTTTCCAGCTTCATCCGTGTCCCTGAAAAGGACATGAACTCATCCTTTTTTATGGTTGCATAATGTTCCACAGTGTATATGTGCCACATTTTCTTTATCCAGTCTATCATCAATGGGCATTTGGGTTGGTTCCAAGTCTTTGCTGTTGTGAACAGTGCTGCAATAAACATATGTGTGCATGTGTCTTTATAGTAGAATGATTTATAATTCTTTGGGTATATACCCAGTAATGGGATTGCTGGGTCAAATGGTATTTCTAGTTCCAGATCCTTGAGGAATCGCCACACTGTTTTCCACAATAGTTGAACTAATTTACAGCAACAGTGTAAAAGCGTTCCTATTTCTCCACATCCTCTCCAGCATCAGTTGTTTTCCTGACTTTTTAGTGATCACCATTCTAACTGGCGTGACATGGTATCTGTTTATGGTGTTGATTTGCATTTATCTAATAACCAGTGATGGTGAGCATTTTTTCTTATATTTGTTGGCCACATAAATGTCTTCTTTTTAGAAGTGTCTGTTCATATCCTTTGCCTACATTTTGATGGGGTTGTTTTTTTCTTGTAAATTTGTTTAAGTTCTTTGTAGATTATGGATATTAGGTCTTTTGCTGTGCAGAAGCTCTTTAGTTTAATTAGATCCCATTTGTCAATTCTGGCTTTTGTTGCCATTGCTTTTGGTGTTTTAGTCGTGAAGTCTTTGGCCATGCCTATGTCCTGAATGGTATTGCCTAGGTTTTCTTCTAGAGTTTTTATGGTTTTAGGTCTTAACCTTTAACTCTTTAATCCATCTTGAGTTAATTTTTGTATAAGGTGTAAGGAAGGGGTCCAGTTTCAGTTTTCTGCATATGGCTAGCCAGTTTTCCCAACACCATTTATTAAACAGGGAATCCTTACCCCATTGCTTGTTTTTATCAAGTTTGTCAAAGATCAGGTGGTTGTAGATGTGTGGTGTTATTTCTGAGGCCTCTATTTTGTTCCATTGGTCTATATCTCTGTTTTGGTACCAGTACCATGCTGTTTTGTTTACTGCAGCCTCATAATATAGTTTAAAGTCAGGTAGCATGATGACTCCAGCTTTGTTCTTTTTGCTTAGGATTGCCTTGGCTATATGGGTTCTTTTTTGGTTCCATATGAAATTTAAAGTAGTTTTTTCTAATTCCATGAAGAAAGTCAATAATAGCTTGTTGGTGATAGCATTGAATCTATAAATTACTTTGAGCAGTATGGCCATTTTCACGATATTGATTCTTTGTATCCATGAGCACAAACTGTTTTTTCATTTGTTTGTGTCCTCTCTTATTTCCTTGAGCAGTGATTTATATTTCTCCTTGAAGAGGTCCTTCACATGCCTTGTAAGTTGGATATATGGATATTTTATTCTGTTTATAGCAATTTTGAATGGGAGTTCACTCTTGATTTGGCTCTTTGTCTCTTATTGGTGTATAGAATGCTTGTGATTTTCTCACATTGATTTTGTTTCCTGAGACTGCTGAAGTTGCTTGTCAGCTTAAGGAGATTTTGGGCTGAGATGATGGGGTTTTCTAAATATACAATCATGTCATCTGTGAACAGAGACAATATGACTTCCTCTCTTCCTATTTGAATACCCTTTGTTTCCTTCTCTTGCCTGATTACCCTGGCCAGAACTTCCAATACTATGTTGAATGGGAGTGGTGAGAGAGGGCATCCTTGTCTTCTGCCAGTTTTCAAAGGAATACTTCCAGCGTTTGCTCATTCAGTATGATATTGGCTGTGGATTTGTCATAAATAGCTCTTATTATTTTGAGATATGTTCCATCAATACCTAGTTTATTGAGAGTTTTTAGCATCAAGGGGTGTTGAATTTTATCAAAGGCCTTTTCTGCATCTATTGAGATAATCTGTGTTTTTTGTCATTGGTTCTGTTTATGTGATGGATTATGTTTATTGATTTGCATATGTTGAACCAGACTTGCATCCCAGGGATGAAGCTGATTTGATCGTGGTGGACAAGCTTTTTGATGTGCTGCTGGATTTGGTTTGCCAGTATTTTATTATGGATTTTCACATCGATGTTCATCAGGGATATTGGCCTGAAATTTTCTTTTTTTGTTGTGTCTCTGCCAGGTTTTGGTATCAGGATGATGCTGGCCTCATAAAATGAGTTAGGGAGGAGTCCCTCTTTTTCTGTTGATTGGCATAGTTTCAGAAGAAACGATACCAGCTCCTGTTTCTACCTCTGGTGGAATTCGGTTGTGAATCTGCCTGGTCCTGGGCTCCTTTTGGTTGGTAGGCTATTAATTACTACCTCAATTTTGGAACTTGTTATTGGTCTACTCAGGGATTCGACTTCTTCCTGGTTTAGTCTTTGGAGGGTGTATGTGTCCAGGAATTTATCCATTTCTTCTAGATTTTCTAGTTTATTTGTGTAGAGGTATTTATAGTATTCTCTGATGGTAGCTTGTATTTCTCTGCGATAGGTGGTGGTATCTCCTTTATCATTTTTTATTGTGTCTATTTGATTCTTCTCTGTTTTCTTCTTTATTAATCTGGCTAGTGGTCTATTTTGTTGATCTTTTCAAAAAAAACCAGCTCCTGGATTCATTAATTTTTTTTGAAGGGTTTTCATGTCTCTATCTCCTTCAGTTCTGCTCTGATCTTTGTTATTTCTTGTCTTCTGCTAGCTTCTGAATTTGTTTGCTCTTGCTTCTCTAGTTCTTTTAATTGTGAGGTTAGGGTGTCAATTTTAGATCTTTCCTGCTTTCTCCTATGGGCATTTAGTGCTATAAATTTTCCTCTAAACTCTGCTTTAGGTGTGTCCCAGCGATTCTGGTATGTTGTGTCTTTGTTCTCATTAGTTTCAAAGAACTTATTTATTTCTGCCTTAATTTTGTTATTTACCTGGTAGTCATTCAGGAGCAGATTGTTCACGTACCATGTAGTTGTGCAGTTTTGAGTGAGTTTCTTAATGTTGAGTTCTAATTCGATTGCACTGCGGTCTGAGAAACTGTTATGATTTCTGTTCTTTTGCATTTGCTGAGGAGTATTTTACTTCCAATTACGTGGTCAATTTTAGAATAAGTGTGATGTGGTGCTGAGAAGAATGTATATTCTGTTGATTTGGGGTGGAAAGTTCTGTAGATGTCTATTAGGTCTGCTTGGTCCAGAACTGAGTTCAAGTCCTGAATGTCCTTGTTAATTTTCTGTCTCATTGATCTAATATTTGACAGTGGGGTGTTAAAATCTCCCACTATTATTGTGTGGGAGTCTAAGTTTCTTTGTAGTCTCTAAGAACTTGCCTTATGAATCTGGGTGCTCCCATATTGGGTGCATATATATTTATGATAGTTAGCTCTTCTTGTTGCATGATCCCTTTAACATTACGTAATGCCCTTCTTTGTCTTTTTTTAATCTTTGTTGATTTAAAGTCCATTTTGTCAGGACTAGGATTACAACCCCTGCTCTTTTTTGCTTTCCATTTGCTTGGTAAATATTCCACCATCCCTTTATTTTGAGCCTATGTGTGTCTTTGCACATGAGATGGGTCTCCTGAATACAGCACACTAATGGGTCTTGACTCTTTATCCAGTTTGCCAGTCTATGTCTTTTAACTGGGGCATTTAGCCCGTTTACATTTAAGGTTAATACTGTTATATGTGAATTTGATCCTGTCATTATGATGCTAGCTGATTATTTTGCTCATTAGTTGATGCAGTTTCTTCATAGTGTTGATGGCCTTTACAATTTGGCATGTTTTTGCAGTGACTGGTACCAGTTTTTCCTTTCCCTGTTTAGTGCTCCCTTCAGGAGCTCT